TTTACGGAAAATCAATTAACAAGCGGAGACGTAATAATACATTCTTTGTCACCCATAAACCACTGCCAAACGTTTTGAAGAGTTTTGGTAATAAAAGAAATATTTCTTGCCGAGTTTTGGAAAGTGACATTTGAGAAAGAAAATGGTAGATCTGAAATATTATTTTTACAGCATATTATGTATATCGGTTTGGGAATCCGAAATGGTTCAAATGGAAAAATTAAGAGAATTGTGGTAAAAACACATATCTACGGTTTATGCGACTTTTTTCATAACATAAGTTTTCTTTTCCAAAATACAGCCATGTTTAGTTATATAAATGAATCAAAAACTAGTTACGAACACTCAAATCTGAAATATTTCTTTTTTATTGCTAAATATCTATCCATCATTTATGTTTTTGTTGATTTTGATGAAATAATTTTATATTTGTTATTTTTTTAGTATTATTCCAAGTTTTATTTTTTAAGCCTGTGACTGATGCGCTGAAAATTGTGTTGATCTAAGTCGACGTTTTCTTTATTTACGAGTATGATTGTTCACCTCTTTTATTTTTGTTTGCTACATAATTGTGTTCTTTTTTAAGAAGGAGAAGTTTAAATTTACTGCCAACTTGCTGTTTTGTAGGTCTGTGCCCTCTAATATTTGTTTCCCAGGTAACATTGCACAAGACGTGAGTGTTTTGTAATGATGGCATGTGATAATATTTCTAATTCTGCGTTAGTTATGCAAGACGGTTTGAATCATTTGGAGTTGTAGCTTGAACTTGTAATATACACGCGTTTTGCGTCGTCTTATTGTTTAGATATAACAGTGGATTTGAACAATTGTTTAAATCGTGTGAGTTGTAATTCTTGCAAATATTATTTCAATGTACTTGGCTCAATAATCCGTGATTAGGCCTATGTGTAAAATATAATTTTCAAACCTAAGTTTGGACGAGAAGTAGCGTTAAAAATCCATTGATTCAGGACAGTCCCCCCCCCCCCTTTCATATCTACAAAGCACGTTAACAGAGCATATTTTTGTGTTTTGATTTTGGTGATGCTTGAGAAATCGCAAGGTTAGGTAAATAAATAAAAGTTACAATTGTATTTGGTGGCAGTGTATAATATCACAGTGCCCCCCCCCCCCAAAAAAAAAAAAAAA